ACAGAGAAAGGTGGACCTGGAGCCCACGGCTGCACGGCCCAGCGAGGTGGCAGGGAGTGGTGGGTGAGGCCACTGGCCCTCACTCATGCCTGGCAGGGTCAGCCCTAACCACGGTGCCTGTGGCCCCCTTGCCTGGCACTGCTATCCCCAGTACCTCCTCTGAAAGGTTCTGCATGGCAAGAGGGGCACAGGCCACCAAGACCCCTCCTTTTGTCCCTTGGGAGCCCATCTGGAGGGCCTACGGCTCCAAACAAAGGATGGGGCCTGGAATAGGAGCCCAACCGAGGAGGGGTAACAGCACGACCCAGCTTCCTTGGGTGCAATCCTCCCATCACCAAATTCTAAGTCAAATGCTGCAGCTTGGGGCCCAGGCATTAGAGCTTAAAAACTGCTGGGTACAATGAATAAGGAACAGAAAGTCTATGGGCCAAAAATGGGGAAAAAAAAACAGGTTGAAAAGCAGCCAAGCCTCCAGTCCAGGGCAGCACAGAGCGCACCCTACAGCACCCTGACCAGACCCAGAGGCCCCGAGAAGCCAGCCCTCCAGGGGTGGCCACACCCACCCCACCTGAGGGCCTAAGACCAGTTTCTGTCTCCCTCCCCTCCCCACAAAACAGGCCTGGAGTGAGCAGTTCCTCCAAAACCACCTACAGCTGGGGAGAGGCCAATGCCCAGGCCAAGGTGCCTGCTCTGAGGTGTCCATGCCTCTGCTGGATGTGGGAAGTCCATGCTCCAGGGCAGCTGCTGGCACCGGGCAGGTGGCTCAGCCATAATGCAGGGGCTTGGCATGTGCTCAGACAGCTCCCTTTCTAATTCCTCCTGGCCTCCTGCACATGAGTAAGCGCAGCCCCCAGGCACGTTTCAATTCAGGCCAACAGGGAGGCAGCCCGGTGTGTTGACACACAGAACACCAGGGTCTCCACAGGGCATCTTCAGATGCAAGCATCCCTCCTCAGAGAGCATCCACCCCACCCCAGGCTGCTCCAGAGGCAACAGGAAAAGGGGCCTGGCTAAAGGCACCCAGGAAGCTCAGACACTAAGAAGGAAGCACCGACAGCCCTCGGGGCTAGGAACAAGGAAGGCCCTGGGCGTGCCTCCCACAACCCCCCACCAATCCCCCACACAGGTGGAAAAAGCCCTGGCATCCCTCCTGAACACCTGCACTCAGGGGAACCAGACCCCACAGTCCACAGTCCACAGAGTACCTCCTAACCCCACTCACTCCTGGACACTAGACCCCACAGTCCACAGAGTCCCACATAACTCCACTCACTCCTGGACACCAGACCCCACAGTCCACAGAGTCCCACATAATCCCACTCACTCCTGGATACCAGATCCCACAGTCCACAGAGTCCCACATAACCCCACTCACTCCTGGACACCAGATCCCACAGTCCACAGAGTCCCACATAACCCCACTTACTCCTGGACATCAGACCCCACAGTCCACAGAGTCCCCCAACCACACTCACTCCTGGACACCAGATCCCGCAGTCCACAGAGTCCCACATAACCCCACTCACTCCTGGACACCAGATCCCACAGTCCACAGAGTCCCACATAACCCCACTCACTCCTGGACACCAGACCCCACAGTCCACAGAGTCCCACACAACTCCACTCACTACTCGACACCAGACCCCACAGTCCACAGAGTCCCACATAACCCCACTCACTTCTGGACATCAGACCCCACAGTCCAGAGAGTCCCACATAACCGGCTTACTGAAAGCAGGAGCACCTTTTAGGCCTGCCCTGAGCTGTCTTGGATGAAGGCAGAGGAATGGAAACTGAGTTTTAGGCCTGCCATTAAACAATACAGTTATGATGGGTTCTCCTACAAATTACATCAGCAACAAAAGCTCACAGCAGAACACAGGGAGAAAAATAAACAAAACAACAACCCCCCAGTATTTCTACAGCCTAAAGAGAAACATGGTTCATACTCCAATTTCAAAACCCAGACCGAGGATAGGCTTGTTCTGGAACCCCCACAGCCTGCTTCTTTTCCCTCCGTTTAGCAAAGTGTCTCATCTCCACCTCCCTCCCTCCCTCCACCGAGCTCTGCTGGCAAATCCACCCTGGTGAAACCCCCTTCCCCAGTGACTGTGTCTGCCTTCCACCCAGCCCGGCTCCACGTTCACACCATGAGCTTCAGCAGGACTGCTGGAGCCCTCACAGGGCCAGTCCTCTGCCTCATGCCCACTTTGGGAAGAGACAGGAAGCTCTGGCCACCTGCTGGCCCCGGCCCCTTTCGATCCCCTCAACTGCCCCAGCCCTATGTCCTGTCCCCTGCCCGTCCCTACAGCAAGGCTCTCATCAGCATAAACCGCTTTCCCACTCCCCATTGGGTAAAAAATGAGTCTCCCTCCCAGCTCCAGGCCAGGCCCCTGAGCAGGCCCTTCTGTGCCAGCCGCCAAGCCCAGGGCAATCCTGCGCTCCCCTCCTGGGTCCTCTCTGTGGTCTGACTGTCCCCTGAAAACATTTCCTTCTCCAGGGCTCTATGAATGGACCTGCCCTCCACGGAGTCCCCAGCTCATGGCTGCTCCCCAAGACTAGATGCCAGGATACTGGAATGCCCCAAAGAGGCTTGAGCCCCCAATTCTGACTTCTCTGCCACCTACTTGCTCCCAACAACAGAAATACCATGCAGAATGGATGGGCACCTCTGTCCCCAGAGCCCTGACTCAAGGCCTCCAGGCCTGTGCATCCAACATGTGGCAGGCATGAGACTCCCACGCTTTACTCACAGTCTCCCACCCATATCATGAGCCCACCCAGGGTGGAATGCCGAAGCTGTCCTCGGTTCCCGGCCTCATGCTCTCTACCTCATCTGCGGTCTACCTCATCTGTGGTGTACCTTCATTGCAGCTGGCTCAGACCATGCGTCCCCACACCACTGCGGGCCTAAGCCCAGGGCCCCTGCGCTTCCCACCCCAGCCAGCCCCAGACCTGCTAGTTCCCATCCACTGCGGCCCTGCACAGAGCAGCCAGGCGGCCTTTACAAATGGACACCAAGCTGTGTCACCACCTCCTCCACCCATGAAACCATAAGCCTACTGTGACTACATAGGGCCCAGAGGTTGGATTACCAACCACTGCAGGCCCCGCTTCTGTCACCCCTAACCTCGCTGTTGGGTCCCAGGACCTGGGCTCTGCCGAGCTGCCTGCCCCACCATTTCCACCAACAACAGTAGGGTCCCCTGGGCTTGGCTCAGGACACTCTGCAGAGCGGCCCCGGGTGACTGTGGCTCCTGCACTCACCACCACCTAAAGTTCTGTCCTTTGCTCTCCTATGGGCCACTAGCTACCCCACTGGATAAGTGTGCCGCCAGGGAGGCAGGTGCCTATGTCACTGGCTGTGGCGTCCCCAGCACCAAGAGGAATGTCCTTAAGTGGCTGCTGAGTGAACAGCGACTGTTCTGGAACTTCAGAACAGCTGTCGCCAGCCCACCGGGCCTTGGTCCTGCAGACGCTGGCTCTGCCCAGACCCGCACAGTGCCCTGATGCTGCCTCTCTGCACAGCTGGGCAACTTATTCCAGGGTCTCAGCAGACAACCCTCACCACCTCCAGCCTAGGCTCTGGTGCCCACACCTCCAGAGAGGGTGATTTCCAACTCTATCCAACCCTGTCCCATGGCAAGGGCCTGCAACCGTGGCCACAGCCACAACCACCAAAGGCTGTACAGCCGGCACATGAGTCTGTCAAGCGATGAACCCTCAGCACACCCCTGCTGGGTGGAGGGGAAGGCCCTAAGGCCGAGAGCCAGGACGCCAGCTCACAGTCATAAGCTGGCAAGCAAGGACACCCAGACGGGAGCCTCCACCTGGGCTGCATGCCCTGGGGTCCGTACAACGCTGACTGCTGCTCTGCCTGTGACCCAGGCCAGTATGATGCGTGGCCCAGGGCAAAACACACAGCCACATGCACACACGCCCCAGGGCCTTCCTTGTCCTTCACAGACATGGCCATGGCCAGGGCAGCATGGAGGGGACCTATAGTTTGTTCAGGCCAAAATGCTTCAAAAGCAAAGCCCATTTGTTCCCTAAAGCAGTAGCAAGCTTTTTTTGGAGACACAATTTTACTCTTTTTGCCCAGGCTGGAGTGCAGTGGCGTGATCTCAGCTCACTGCAACCTCTGCCTCCCAGGTTCAAGCAATTCTCCTGTCTCAGCCTCCCAAGTATCTGGGATTACAGGCACCCACCATCACCCCTGGCTAATTTTTGTATTTTTTAGTAGAGATGGGGTTTGACCATGTTGGCCAGGCTGGTCTCGAACTCCTGACCTCAGGTGACCCACCCGCCTCGGCCTCCCAAAGTGCTGGGATTACAGGCGTAAGCCACCACGCCTGGGCAAGTGGGAAGCTTTTTAACACTAGAGGTCCAGAAACCAGGAGAGCCCGCCTGGTGCCCCATGGGCCACACTGCGGGGCCCTCCCCCAGGCTCAGAGGCAGCCAAACCAGTGGGAGTGGGGCCGATGTGGGCTGAGGAGAAAACAGCTGGAAAGCACACCTGCCTCATTCACAGACGGCAGATAAGCACTCGCCAGAGACATCCCTCGCTTGGTCAGGCATGCTGAGGGATGCCCGAGCCCCAGCTGAGCCACTGTCTCACTGGGAACTCAGGCCCTGTGTGGTCAGGGCAGGGGTCCACAAAGCCATAGCACCGATACCCACTTCAGCAGCCCCCAGACCCCTCACAGGCTCTCACATCTGCTTTGCCTCTGACATCGTGGCCTTGTGTGGCAAACACATCACTGACCCCTTTCCAAAAACACGGCGGTGGGGCCGGAGAGGCTGTGTTCTTCCCAGGCACGTGCCACCTGTCACTAGGGACTCAGGCTCTTCACATGCCCTTCCATGCTCAACACGGCTTCAACAAGAGGAGGCAGCCATGCGCTGGCGCCTGCAGCTGAGGGCTCACGGGGACAGGAGTCCCTGCCGAGACCCAGGGTCCAGGTGCCCTGAATCCCAAGCCACTCCTGCAACAGACTCACCATGTCTGCTCTTTGTTTCTGGCCTCCCAGCTCCTCCAGGGCCTGCGACAGCTGAGCCTGCAAGACAAGAGAGGATTTGGCCTCAGGCTGGGGTAGACCAAGCACCATTTCCAGGACCTCGGAGAACATAACCCCCACCACCCCGCAGCCTCCATTCCCTGTGGAGCAACAGGGCCCAGGAGCTGGGCAGTGGGCAGCTGGAAGGCTGGCAGCGGCCAGTGTGACCACCCCGTGAGGCCCAGAGCCCAGTGATAGAGACAGAGACCAAGTAGGGAGCAGGTGGCTAGAGAGTTGGCAGGGGCCAGCATGGCTACCCCTTGGGGCTCAGAGCCCAATGATGGGGACGAAGACTGAGTGGGCAGCAGGTGGCTTGACAGAACCAAGGTCCATCCCAAAAATCTGCCTTAGGAAACTGACTATGAATGGAGTGGACAAAGGGGCGGGCCCGAGAGGGACTGTGAAATCGGGGGAGAGGCGGAGGGGAAAGGTTCAGGATGGGACTTTCCGTCAGAGGAAATCAATTAACCATAACCCCTACCCAGGCGGGGAAGGTCTCCTGCCCCCACACACGCCCCAAAGAGCGCTGGGCCTAACCCCACACTAAGGATAGAAAAGCCAGCAATGAGAAGCCAGCCGCCTCCTCCTAATGAGAAGCCAGCCGCCTCCTCCTAAAAGGCCTCATGGAGCAGCAAGGCTGGGCCTGGCTGTGGGGCCGGGACATTAGCAGGCCAGCTCCCTGCTGGGGACAGTGACCCTGCCCCACGCATGGGGCTCAGGACCTCAGAAACCCCCTGCCCTGGGCCTTTGCCCCTGCGGGTCCTGCCTTCCCCCACATCCCCTGCCCCTGCCCCTTCCTGACTCCATCCCACGACCCTGCTTCGCTACCCACTGCCCCCACCACTTAAACATACCACGTCTGCGACCTGGAACCAGGGAGGAAGGGTCAGGCACTGGGGGCCTTGTAAGACCTCCCCGCTCTGGGGCACAGAACAGAGGAAAGGCCGGGAAGGAGACTGAGGGGCCAGCCCAGGAGTGAGGCAGGTGACTGTGGTGAGGGTGTGCAATTTGCGAGGTGGAGGTCCAGCATGCCTGGGGTTGAAGGAGAAATTGAGAGGCCTGGCCCAGCAGCAACTGGAAATCACCGGGCAAGTCAGCAGGAGAGACAGGAGAGAGAAATGTGAGGGAGGGAGGCATGCATATGTGCATGCACATGAATGTGGGTATGAGAACACTGGTGTGTGATGTGTGCACATGTGGTGGGGATGGGGGAAATATATTTGGAGACACCGAGAACAAGGCACTATAGCCCCTGGCAACACAGCCCGGGGAAAGTGGCCCAGGTAGCAGCCCACAGTCCTCAGGCACTCTGCTCTGCAGATCACGGGTCCTTAAGCTTTCCTACAGGCCCAGCACAGCCAGGCTCTGGACTTCCCATGGGCCATGCTGGGTGCCTGCCGGTTCTGGATGCCACAGCAGAGTCAGACCCTGGCTCCAGGTGCCCCTGGGGAGGCTGCAGGTATGAGCACCTGAGCCCCCCGAGTCTCTGCTGTGGGGCCTCACTCAGAGCATCCGAGTGACCCCCATTGCCCAATGCCCTGTGCAACACCTATGGGTGCGGGGCAGGCCTTGAGCTCTGCCCACTACCAGCCCCGCCTGGTGCCCTCTCACTTCCCTGGGGGAGGCTCTGAAGCCTGCCTGCCCACTGTCATCAGGAGGCAGGTGGCCATGGCCACTCTGGGCTGTGTGGACTGCTCCATGGAAAGCTCGGTGCCTCAGGGTCAGGGAGCAGCACATCATCCTCCACACAGCCAGCTGAACCCTGGATAATCTGCCCAGTGCTGGGGTCACAAGCACCTGGGAACAGCAGATGGAGAGGGACATCCCCCAATCTCGGCCTAGACACAATGCGCTTCACTCAGCTACACTCCTGCACATGGCACCCCTGGGCACTCCCGGGGGCACAGAGCCAGGTTGGGGCATCCCAGACACCCCATGCGCTTAGGCACAGCCTCAGCACTCGGGAAGCAGCTGCAGTTCACACTCATGCTTGCCTCACGCAACCCTGCACCCAGCACCCTGCCCAGATCTACCCGTATCCACAGGCCGCCAGGCCACAGAGACCACCCCAAACATGGGGGAAGACAACAAGGCTCTGAGCTGGCATGAGTGGTGAGAGGTGGCCGTTAGAGCTGCCCGTACCCCCTGTAGCCTGGGCATGTCCGCCATGCTTGGCACCCACCCTGGGCACACAGGCAGCTGGCACGTGGATACCAGCCTCAGGTCACAGCTGCAGATGAGGCACATCATCATCCCCATTTACATCAGTTCACGTGGCAACCTCTCGAGGTCTAAGGCACTTTATGACACAGCTTGGAAGAGACCTGGGCCATTCATAAGCAGCAGGGCAGGGAGCTGTGTGCAAGGCCCAGGCCAACCCGCTCTCCTGCGCCTCCCAACACAATCACTGCAGGGTGGAGCTGTGACCACGGTGACCAGCCGAGGGTCCTGCCGAGGCCAGGCAGGCCAAGGCAACCTCAGCCTTCACTGCCTCCTGTACCACGCAGGTAGGACACAGGAGTTTTCAGAAGGTTTCATGAGGTTTCTGTGAGGACAGCACTGAGCAATGTGCACCTGAAGACAAGTGCATTTATAATCGGCTCATCAGCCTGAGGCCAAGGTGTTCGCCTCCGCACCAGCCCCATTCAGCCTCGTACTTCCGTCAACAGCTGGAAAAAACAGAATGCGCATTTCCTTAAATCCTCTGTGCCCTGAAAACAGACACCAGTGAGATTTTTCAGACATCCCCAAAACCAGAGTTGCTGGCAGTAAGGTGACTAAGCCGTGGAGTCCTGCACTCAGACTTGTGCCCTGGTCTGCAGTACCTGGACAGAGTGCCTCAGAGTAGCTCCCATGAGAGCACAACCCCAGGATGGAGGCAGAAAGCCGACTGCACATCAGCAGGAGGAGCTGGGACAGGGCTTGCACACCCGCCTGGCGCTGAACAGGGCCCTGGGTTCAGAAAGGCAGATGTCAACAAGCTGCTCCCCAGGAGGCAACCAGGACAGCAGAGGGCATCACAGGAGCCATTCAGCCACGAACAGAGATGGCTTCTAGACAGCAAGAGCTGCCTTTAACCGAACACTGAACACACAGGTGTCACTCAGGCTGCAATGAGACGGCCACGGATCCTGTGTGACTCATGAGGTTCTACGTCTTTGCCTGCATTAAGGGGGTTACACACATATACTCACCCTGTCGTCCAACAGGCTGTATACTTACAATCTGTGCACCTGGGTGTATTATGTTACATTTCCATTAAAACATATACTCTAGCACCGTGGGGTACAAACTGCAGAGGAAGAGAGGGGCAGCTCTGTTATCATAAAGATAAATTGTTTCAGCCAAGCACAGTACTCATATGGGAGGCCAAGGCACAAGAACTGCTTGAGCTCAGGAGTTCGAGACCAACCTGGACAACATACAGAGATCCTGTCTCTAAAAAAATTTTTAAATCAGCTGGGCGTGGGGGCACACAACTGTGGTCCCAGCTACTCAGGAAGCTAAGGTAGCAGGATCTCCTGAAACAAACAGGTTGAGGCTGCAGTGAGCCATGACTGTGCCACTGCACAATCATGGGCAACAGAGTGAGACCCTGTGTCAAAAACACAAAAACAAAGATGTGAAACACACAAAAAAAGGTTGTTTGTAATCAGCCACATCTTCCCAACAAGGATGGCCAAATGGGACACCGCACAACCCTGAGTAAGAGGTGACTCCAGACGGGGCCTTCTCAGCAAAGCAGCCACCAGACAGAAGCTCAGCAGGCGGAGGGGCCAGAAATCTGAGAGTGTGACACGGGGCGCATGTTTCACACACACAGAGATGGGGATGTAGCAGGGAGGCAGGAGGGAGCTCAGGTCTGGTTTATAGACATCCCACAGCACAAGGTTTGTGGGTACAGGACACCTCAGTCACCTCTCACTCATAACCTGAAAAGACACATGTGGCGCTCCTAAGAATGGGGGTAACATGGAGAGGACACAGGCAGAGAAGGCCCTGTCGGCATGCAAGGAAATGCACTGCTGTCTGTGGCTCAGATATGTGGTCAGACATGAGGTTTCCAAGCAGCCAAAAAAAAATGTTTTACATGAGAGCGGGTGCCAACAGGTTAGGAGCTAGTGGGGAGAACAGCAGTGGCTGCAGTCTGGGGTGTCAGCCACAACGCATGCCTGGCCTGGGCCTCCCTGATGTGACAGGTTCTGCAGAGGGAGACTGTGAGAAGTTCACAGCAAAGCCCCAGCACCGAGGTGCATTTGATAAATGTCCACTCCTCCCTCACTTTATCGTTCAAAAGAAAACAACTGGAGAAAGAAAAACAAAGGAAACATTGAAACCTGCACAATCCACTACAGGAGACACAGGACTTCACTAAACCCACACAGCCCATTACAGCAGAGACAGGACATCATGAAACCTGCACAGCCCACTACAGAAGACACAGGGCATCACTAAACACACACAGCCCACTATAGGGGAGACAGGGCATCACTAAACCCACACAGCCCACTATAGGAGAGAAAGGACATCACTAAACCCACACTGCCCACTACAGGGGAGACAGGACATCACTAAACACACACAGCCCACTACAGGGGAGACAGAACATCACTAAACCCACAGAACCCACTACAGGGGAGACAGGACATCACTAAACCCATAGAACCCACTACAGGGGAGACAGGACATCACTAAACCCACACTGCCCACTACAGGGGAGACAGGACATCACTAAACACACACAGCCCACTACAGGAGAGACAG